AGACATTGAGGTCTTAGATCTCCACTTGAATTAAGACATTGAGGTATGTACAGCTAGGCACCAGCTAAAGTACACGTACATGAAGCTACAGAATCACACACAGTTTGCTCCCTTCCTCACAGTTACCCGCTGAAGGAACTGTCACTCTGGTTACCGTGGTAACCTGGTTGGCAGGAAGTGAGTTGATGAGAGATGGAGCTTCAATATGAGGTCGTGGTCCAGGATCTTTTAACATCCAGAAATCTTTGTCTGTGTCTCCATTGTTAGTGACTTCATGACTGGAAACAAAAGAAGACAGTTAGAGGTCTAGATCAGAATGAACATAAAAAAAATCAACCATGACAGTAGTATAGAGTAGGAAGGATAACATATATCACATTAGTAAAAATATAATAAATACTTTACATTACCGCTATACAGATTACCACTGTATAACATGAAATATTCATTGTGTATAAACATTCATTGCTTTTAGTGACTACGAAAATAAATACAACGAATATTTCTATGCAATGAAAGAACATAACCACAGATGAATATTTAACTCCTCCGGTATCTATGAGTTACTTTTACTCCACCAATGTCGTATTGTCCTACCATCATTGGTCGGTCCATTTAATAAGGTAATTTTTTTCACAGTTGTACGTCATTGGCATAAATATGCCATTCTAATGCTTCATGTGGTTATTTCACCAGCTTTTTCTATTAAGATTTTCAATTATTCCTTTAAGCGCTGGCAAATTTCAAAGTTACAGAGTAAGCGGCTAGCCCCATTCGAAAATGTTGTACTGAACTTCTCTAGCGGAGAAAGTTATGATAGGTACATTTCGTTGAATCGGGTATCCATGAAAATTTGTATCCACAAAATTATCTAATAGCTTTAAACCATGAAATAAAGAACCCACCAATATTTGGTGTTATACAGTACATAGAGTAGGTGGATTGTCCTACCTTTTCTTGTCCTTCTCCTCCCTGACCACCACGCTGTTGTCCTTCACTGCACATGTACAGCCAGGGCCAAGCTCAATGGCCTTGTGGGAACTTTTAAATATCTCATTATCTTGGATACAGCCTTTGAGTACCATGGTAACAAGCAGTGTCTTGTCACTAAGTGACTGTAGACGGTTATGTTGAACCTGGAGGAGATAATGAAAGTTCCACGTTAGGAGAAACAATTCATCAGAATATATCATGTTAAGTGCAGTAACCATAATAGGTAAATGTTAGCGATTTTGATAAAAGTCAAAATATTTGTTTCTTTCATCAAAAGGTATGCTTTTTAAACAACTACTATCAAACACCAAGAAAAGACCTTAATTAGCAAAGACATAAAATTTGAAGTTTAAAGATGAACACAACACAAAACAAGAGGCCCAATGGGCCTGAATTGCTCACCTGGTATTAA